TTTACTTAAGTATAATTTTAAATATTTCAAAACCACATTTCCTTGCACGCATAACCGCGAAAACGAACATCAGTAAACTTGGGGCGAACCGACTTTGGGGCGAACTGACTTTGGGGCGAACTGGTCTGGGGCGAATGTGCATTGGGGCGAACTGACTGACCACCCGATCTATACATGGAAGCACAGTCCCTCTATCCCCGGTCTGGAAACAGTCATTGTATTAGGTGTGAATTGGCCTCCTTCCCTGGCAAAGGCGCATTGCAGGCATGGGCAAAGCATTGTCACGCAGCCGGCCACTATTTTTGACATCGTCAGTGTTGTGTATTTTTTTTACAACTTAGTTGTTTAGTCCAGAATTCGTGCTTTTTCACATAATTTTTTAATCAGGATATCTGTATAAGGTCATATTTTAGCGAGTAGTTCTTTAATTTATCTATTTTACCAGCAGCGACACATTTTCGCAACAAATTTTCATACCTTTACCCAGATATTTGCCGTTTTTGATTTTGGGGTGATTGAAATGAACTCTATTTTATTAGTCCCTGTTCGGACGAAGTCCGAAAATGGGGACTTATAATTCGGTCTCCGTGCGTCCGTCCAGAGTCATATCTCAGAATCCCTTGGGCCGATTCCGTTCATTCTTTGCATGTGCCTAGTACTTTATGTGGGACGTATGCACATGCAGTGGTTTAGGTATTCGATTCAAAATGGCCTACTGGTAGCCATCGTGTTTTTTGAAAATGTTGTATTTTGGACATGCTTTGTCAGTTGTCATTCAAATTTAGTACATAGATCATACATGTTAGGATACATGTTCCCGACCATCTGTGAGTTCCTGAGTCTGTCCGTCCGACCGTGTGTCCGTGCGTCAGTCTGTCTATGCGTCAGTCTGTCCAGAGTCATATTTCAGAATCCTGTGGACCGATTCCGTTCATTCTTTGCATGTGCCTAGTACCTTATGTGGAACATATGCACATGCAGTGGTTTTGTGATTCGATTCAAAATGGCCTACTGGCAGCCGTCTTGTTTTTTTTGAAAATGTTGTATTTTGGACATGCTTTGTCAGTTGTCATTCAAACTTGGTACATGGATTATACATGTTAGGATACATGTCCATGACGATTTATTTCGCAATTTGATCAAAGATGGTCGACTGGCAGGCATCTTGTTGTTTTTTTTATGCGGTATCTTTCACGTACTCTGTCAGTTTTCATTCAAATTTGGCACATACATGTACTTTATACATGTTAGGATACATGTCCATGACAATTTGTTTCAAAATCTGGTCAAGGATGGCCGATTGACAGCCATCTGACTTTTTGGAATTACTACTTTATTTCCACAATTTATGTACCATTTTTATTCATATTTGGCACATACATCATACATATCAGTGTGTTTCATAATCAAATCAAAGATGGCCGAATAACGGCTGTTTTTATTTTTGGCCATATGACTACTACACGGAATACGTGTTTTGATGTAAATAAACAATCTGTTGTATACGCCACTTTGAACTCAAGTTTCAAGGACACGCTCGCGACAACCCCTCTGCTTTAATATGATGAGCACAAAGAGAACTTTCAAAAATTTAATGGGGACTGTGTCATTTTCAATGACTTGTTTACTATACTTCTCGGCGCGAAACCAATATTTGTCTTCGATTTTGAC